CCCACTGGGAACCCTTCACTTCAGCATTGCCCCCGCCAAGCCTGAGTCCAGAGAATAAGTTATTTCCTCTACAAAACTTTAGCTCAAGACTGTATAAAATCTTCGGCTCCCCTTAATACCCAAGAGAGGATGACTTTTCAAAACCATAGCGCCAAAATACTAAGGATTTATAAGAAAGAAAATACAAGAAAAAAATTTGATTGGCATTTTCCAAATAAGTTGATTTTGCTTTCTGAACCTACAGACAGACTTGCTGTTTATAACTCCCATCAGGAGGATGCACTCCCTTGGCACCTGGGCCCCTGGTGAGCTGAAGAGGTAAGGCCCTCCCATTTAGTCCGAATTCTCTTTGGAGAAGCAGCCTTCACTAAAAGAATTGATAGGACTGTGAATAGTAATGCACTGAAAGGCCTCTCCCTGCCTGGCTAAGTGTCTGAGTTACACACTTCTCTTCAGATGTCTTTCAACCCAGAGAAGGCCAATGAGGATTTTAATGGAGGAGACTTTCTTTTTTTTTTTTTTTTATGTTTTATTTATTTCTAGGAGAGAGAGAGAGACAGCGTGAGCAGGGGAGGGTCAGAGAGAGAGGGAGTCACAGACCAAAACAGGCTCCGGGCTCTGAGCTGGCAGTTAGCACAGAGCCCGACGCGGGGCTCGAACCCACGAACCGCGAGATCATGACCTAAGCGAAAGTCGGACACTCAACCGACTAAGCCATCCAGGCGCCCCAAGGAGGAGACTTTCATAGTCCCTCTCAAATGACATCAGAGTAATTTAGACTCTCTCTCACTGCATGACCCTTTACGCTCAATGAAGAGCTTTAGTACATTGACCAGGTACCTGTATTCTGGGACTGTGCTGTCCAAGATGGTAGCCACCAGTCACGTTTTGCTATTGAGCACTAGAATACAGCTCTATGAACTGATTGAGCTGTAAGTATAAATGACACGCCAAATTTTGAAGACTTAGTATGGTAAAAAAAAAGAATGTACAATATCTCAATGATTTCTTTTTTTTTTTTTCTGTATTGTTTCCTTCTTTCTCTTTTTTTTTATTATTATTATTTTTTTTATTTCTAGGATAGAGAGAGACAGCGTGAACAGGGGATGGTCAGAGAGAGAGGGAGTCACAGACTCTTAAACAGGCTCCAGGCTCTGAGCTGGCAGTCAGCACAGAGCCCGACGCGGGGCTCGAACCCACGAACCGTGAGATCATGACCCAAGCGAAAGTCGGACGCTTAACCGACTAAGCCACCCAGGCGCCCCGATGATTTCTTATATCGACTATATTTTGAAATAATATTTTGGATACATGGAGTTACATAAATATATTACTAAAATTAGCTTCACCTGGCCTCTTGTTACTTTTTAATTTGACTACTACAATATTTAAAATGACATAAGTGGGCTGCATTATATTTCCATTGGACAGTTTTGTCTCTGGAATGGTCTTGGTTCTAAAGACTGAATTTCCTCTTCGTGAATAGTTATTTTTTCAACTAGGATATATACTGAAGTATCTGTAGAAAATTCCTTAGCTTCTTTCTGTTTATAGAAGTAGCATGATATAATAAGAAAAAACACTTGGGTTCTAATCTCTATTTTTGTCATTAACTAGCAATGAAAGTAGTCAAATCATTTTATCTCTTTGGGTCTGAGTTTCTTCATGTAAAACAAAAGGGTTGGACTGGGTCCTCTGTATGGTTTCTTCCAACTGGAAGAAATTATTTGATTTTTGATAATTATTTGATGATTTGATTTGATTATAAATTTTCTTCTAAAATATTTTCCATGGATAATATAGACTTAGCTCTTTATTACAAAAATATGTAATTTTAAACCTTATTTTTAGAGTTTTTTTAAAAATATTTATTTTTGAGAGAGAGAGAGACACAGAGAGAGAGAGAGAGAAACAGAGTGTGAGCAGGGAAGGGGCAGAGAGAGGGGGAGACACAGAATCCAAAGCAGGCTCCAGGCTCTGAGCTGCTAGCACAGACCCGAATGCAGGACTCAAACTCATGAACTGTGAGATCAGGACCTGAGCTGAAGCTGGATGCTCAACTGACTGAGCCACCCCAGTGCCCCGAACCTTCTTTGAAGAGGATAAAAATATAAATATTTCCCTTGTTAAAAGGACAGACATTGAGCTAATTTATACAACCTTGCATATGCTAAAGTGCATGTTTATTTTCTGTGCTATAAATTGTGCCACGAAAACTATTTTGTTAATTATACTTTTTCTATTTTTAATAGAAAAATGGCTACAATTATTGGTTATTTTATATAATTGATCGGTTAGCTTCTCCTCCATAGGTTATTCTCATTCCTCAGACACACATATCTTCTATACTCTCCTTTGACCATTTCTGGTTATATTTCATGTCTCATTCCGGCCTTGCTGTGTCCTCCAATTCTCTTTCAGGGCTGAGCTTTTTAGCTATCTCTTACCAGCACCCTGGTCACCCTCTTCCACTACTTTAGACTCAGGAACTTCCTGCTCTCTTCATCTCTTCCAAAATAATTTCATCTGGAAAGATACAATAATAGGTACATTTTAGGTAAATTGCGGTCTTTGCAGTTACTTCTGCAAAGCGTTGGTGGTGGGGTGGTGGGAAGGTGGGTCTTTACATTTTAAGCCTTAACTTTCACCCTGAAATGAAAGCCTTTATTCCTGTTAAATTGAATGGACTGTTTCTTTTGTTTTCAATGTTTATTTATTTTTGAGAGAGAGAGACCACGAGCAGAGGAGTGGCTAAGAGAGAGGGAAACAGAGAATCTGAAGTAGGCCCCGTGCTGTCAGTGCAATGGGGATTGAACCCACGAACCCTGAGATCATGACCTGAGCCGAAACCAAGAGTCAGACGCCTAGCCAACTGAGCCACCCAGGTGCTCCTTTAATGGAGTGTTTCTAGTCTATATTTAAATCGTCTTAAACTCCATGGGAGTATGTGAATTCTCACACATTTATGCTTTGCAAGCCCTGCCCACACCTGTTCTTTCTTGTGAAAATGTGGCTTTAAACATAACTACAGTTACCTGTGCAAGATTCTGACTGCTCAAGAAACCTACTCAACCTTAACTTTTGGACAGAGTTTGTGGAGCACTGAATTTGGCATAAGACAATCTAGGTTCATTATCTTAGCCGCACTTGAACTGGATGTATCGCCTTGGACAAATTTACTATTTGGTTCCTAATGTTTGTTCCTAATGAACAAATTCATTATTTGGTTTCTATTACATTCCTAATCTGCTAAAAGGAGCCCTAATAACACGTGTTACACATGTGTCACATGGTACTTCTGAGCATCTAAGAATATAACGAGCATGAAAGTACTTATCAATGGTAAGGCACTACTGAGTGTAAGTGACATTAGGCATCCTGAAACTTCATCAAATTTTGTTCCTAGTTCCATTTTCCCTTCTTTCGCTCTGAATAAATACACTGACCCATTAAGTTTAGGCAAGAATTAAGAATATGACTTAAGGTTTTCAGAATAATGGAAAGTTTCAAGTTAAGATCACTCTCTTCATTCAATCATAATGAGAGCTACGAAACATATATTAGAACTGATAGCCTAAGTGACTTTACACAATTCATCTGTGAAACTCAATTTGTCAAGAAACAGCAAATGGTTTTTTGAAATTCAAATGGACCCTGGGTGAAGGGTTTGGGGTCAATGTTAAATTGCTAGCCATTTTAAGTAGCAAATTAATGTTACTGTTATGTAAGTGGAGTGTAAAGAAAAGACTTTAGAATCAGATGTTAATCAACTGGATTTTTGAAAACGACTCCTGTTCTTAAACTTGATGCAAAAATATTTTCCAAATACAGATTCAAGTGCTGAAAAATATTATTCAAGTTATCTACAGAATATGCGCTTGTGTATATGTATGTATGCACATATTCTTTTCTGTTATTTCTTTGAAATCAAAGCTATGAGACACAGCTCTCTCATCAATTATCCTCAGAATTTAGTGAAAAAAGAAAAGAATTTGGAATCAGTCACTCGGTTCCGTCCACCTTCTCTGGCTTAGGAGCTATTTCCTACTCCCTAGAAGGGGAAGCAATCCTGTCTGCTTCGCCTAACTGGCAGAGCTGTGCAGAGAACCCAGTGCGCTGTAGGCGAAAGACAGGTACAGTTGCTGCTGTTAGGACGGTCAGAGTAGCTGGGCGCTCAGCAATGCGGTGTTAAAAACCCCAGCTCTTCCCAGCTGGCGAAGAGAAAGCCAGTTCTCTCTACCCCAAGTCTATTTCATTTTTGACATTTCAAATGTAGGTGAGAGGAAGGAGGGCTAGGGGATTTAAGAAACCTGGACGCAGAAACTTACTCTCCCGGCAGCTGCGTGTATATACTCTTTTTTTTTTTTTAATTTTTTTTTTAATGTTTTATTTATTTCTAGGAGAGAGAGAGAGAAACAGCGTGAGCAGGGGAGGGTCAGAGAGAGAGGGAGTCACAGACTGAAACAGGCTCCAGGCACTGAGCCGGCAGTCAGCACAGAGCCCGACGCGGGGCTCGAACCCACGAACCGCGAGATCGTGACCTAAGCGAAAGTCGGACGCTTAACCGACTAAGCCACCCAGGCGCCCCGCGTGTATATACTCTTTTAAAAACCTTCGTTGGTTCCTTGGTCCATTCAACAAGCATTTCTCAGACCGCTGCCGGGTTTGGGACCCTGGACTAGGCAGGGAGAGCCACGAAAGGGAAAGGACCCAGAATGCGGGGCCGAGGAGCCCTCCGTCTAGGGGGCACACACTGGACCAT